TTGCAACATAAATCTATAATAAACAGAAATTGCAACATAAATCTATAATAAACTCCCACGTGTTCCATCTCACCTAACGGGAGGGAAATAACGTGGCTTTCGCTTTTAGGAAATGATAAAGGCCACCTCCCCTCACCACACACTGGTTTTAAAGTCACTGATAAACAATCTTACCCACAACAACTCCAACAAAATCACCGACTAACTAAAGTTACCACCTTAGTCCTAATGGTTTTATTTACATAGTACAACTTAGTTCAGCTGTAATTACACTTCGATAAAAACATATCAAAGCAAGAAAAGGTACTATCTCCAGAGTTAAGAAAATAAGGATTTAAATGGTAGCATTACTATTACTATTACTATATAATAAATATAGTAATTATTATAAAGCTAAAATAAACTCTGCCTGGAAGTCTACAGTGAGAGAGAACACAGCAGAATAGAGAGAGAGAGCTGTGTGTTCAAGTCCTACTCCCACTGCTTCACTGTGTGATTTAGGCAAGTTACTTAACCTCCCCGTGCTTCCATCTCCTCAACTCCAAAAGTGGAAAAATAACAGAACCTCCCTCACAAGCTGCAATGCCTGGCACAAAGTACTCAACAAATCTTAATCATTGCTGATACTGTTCTTATTGCTGTTATTGTCATTCCATCATAATGACTGTAGTTTAAAAAGAACTTTCGTGTGCAGTAGCTTATGAGAATGATTAAGAACAGCACAGAGAAATACGTCATTTGAAATGTAATTACATCACATGTCAAGTATACAGGAAGGCGTGTGATTCTCACCACCATCCTTTGGCTCTTTCTGGCAAACCAGAAGGCAACATACAAATACAAAGCGTAACTGGATGGATGCAAAAGTCAGCTGCAGAAGGAGTAGTTAATAACAATTAATATTTATTGGGTACTTTCAATGTTCCACACAGTTCACTCAGCATTTTAGATGTGTCACATTATTTACTCTTACTGGTATAATGTTATACTCAAGGAACTGGACCCAGCTAGGTTACACAACCTTCCCAAGGTCACTGGTGAGTCAACTCAGGCAAGTTGTCCAGAGGACATACTAGCACCTTACTCCACCACCCAAAAAACAATTGGTTTTTTTTTGTTTTTTTTTTTTCAGCTGGCCTGAATGGGGATCTGATCCCATGCTCTGGGTGTTGCTACAAGGCTGCGCTCTAAACCAACTGAGCTAACCAGCCAGCAAAAACAAACATTTGTAAAATATTCCTATAAAACAATTGGGTTTTTTTTTTTTTTTTTTTTCAGCTGGCCTGAATGGGGATCTGATCCCATGCTCTGGGGGTTGCTACAAGGCTGCGCTCTAAACCAACTGAGCTAACCAGCCAGCAAAAACAAACATTTGTAAAATATTCCTATCACTTTGCTCATTCACAGCAATAACAGAAATAACCGGTATTGTGCTCATCTCTCTAAATGAAAACCCAAGGGCCATCTATCCTCTGTGCCAGCAATTTTCTTACAACTGTTAATGAAGACCATCTAAATTTCCATCCCTAGTGAGCAATACTTTTCCTTGTGCTTCTAGAATTCTAGTTTATATATTATGTATGTGTGTGTTAAATACTTCTATAATTCTAGAATTCTCTTGAAATATAATATAAACCAATCCCGGTTACTGACAAGTCACAACAAAAATGTTCCTTGTCACTAATATCATCATCATCTAGATCAGGGTTCTTAATATGCAAGTCAGTAATCCATGAACTTGTAAATAAATGTTACATGTATACAGGTATGTACATTCTCCTGGTTTGGAAAAAGACCGCATTCATTACTTTCCTCAAAAGGCCCCCAAAATGTGAAAAGTCATTCATTTATACAGAGATCCTCCCAAGGCAAATTACATCATTATACTAATTTTAAAGTCTTTGGGGTTTTCAAATAGGAATATGCTCTGCAATTCAATGCCTTATGATTTTACGCCAGAGTGACAGTAAAATGCATCGGGGACAGGATTCTGGATTAAAAATGAGAAGACCTGCTCCAACAGAAATTCACTGTGAAGGTGACCTGGGGGAAATCACTTAACATTTCTGGATTTAGTTCCATGATCTGGAAAATAATTGTGCTTAAACAGATGGTTTCAGGGGTTTTTCTCCAGCTCTATGAGTCTGTGACATAACAGTACCACACATGCACTGCAAAATAAGACAAAAATTACTTAATCCACTTACATCACTAATGAGTTCGGTGCATTTTCTGGCCAATTCCATGCTCAGGTCTTCAATAACAGGCTTAAAGAAAACCTGTTTGGAAAACAAGAAAAAGGAACATTTTTCTCGTTGTGTATAGAGAGTAACAAATCCTGTTCTTGAGCAGGTGTTTTCTCACTCACCTTGTCCTCCTCTTCTTCTTCCCTTGTTTTTTCCTCTTCAGTTTCATCTTTTACATTCTCAAATACAGGGACCCTCATTTTTACCCTTTCAGAATATTTTTATTTTTGAAATTCACTCATGTAGTGTCTTTTTATATGCGACGGTGCCTGTGAGATCTTGGTGTCTCTGGGGCTTGGCAGGAATGACCTTCCCCGAGCCTCACCCCTATTTAGCTTACACTTCGCCTTATCTCGATGGCATGTGAGTGCCTGGAACAGGACCCCAGAGGCCTGCCAGGGCTGGCCTCACCGTTAGAAAAATATTTTCTCAGGCAAAATCTAATTTCATAAACTTTTAAAGTCAGCATCCTTTAAACTTGTTAAGAAATCCGAAAGAGAAAACTTATTTCTCTTTCACTAATTTAATTCATTCATAAAATAGTTTGAAAAGGACTGAAAGATTCTGGAATAACTACTCAGCTGTGACACTCAAGATATCATAACCCACAGCCTGTTATCACAAAGATTTCTCAGCTCCGTCTAAATAAAGCTTTCACTGGAATGTCAGACATATCTCTGATTTGGTATAGTAAGTCTCGATCATTCAAACTCATTTCACTAACCTAAATTAAATGTTTTATGAGACATACACATACTTCTTACATGCTAAAAAATACTCACTTTATATTAGCTGATTAGAGGCTAGTAATTTGCTATGAAAAGTCCTTTGAACCACTTCAAAGAATCTGTTCTGAGTTAATTATGACTGTTAATCTTGTAGTGGTGAGTATTGTGTTGTATTAATTGTAAACATCATTAAACATGAGAATTTGTAGTTAACATATGTTGATATATCATTTAAGAATTCTAGAAACATCACTGTTTCAAAAAATAATAATCATCCTCTGAATTCTGCTCATTGTGTCAATTTTTACAAATTCACTAATTACTTGTATATTTCTCAATGTATACCACACACTTGGAAAACTTTGGAAAAATAAACCATCACAATATTTATAATGAGATATATGTCATCAGGTACATAATAAAAAATATGTTTTTCAAAATAAATTCTTTAATGTCAGTTTAGGCAATTCCAAGACTATAAACAACTCACAATTTATTAATTTGGTTATTTAAATACTAGGGTAAATTGATTTTTACAAGGCCACACCATATCAGTGCTGGACATAAAAAATCCCATACTGGGAATAATAAAACTATATAAAAGATGGCTTTATTCAAAATAAGACATCATTATTATATACATCATTCTAAGTAGCCAAGTATAATACTGTTTTCTCTTGATATCTTATTTGGACTTCAATTTATTTTTTTAAAATTGCCTTGGCCTTCCCCACACTGAAAATTCTACTGAGAAAAACATTCCACACAGTTATTATATATACACCTAAAATTGTGTTTGAGAAATTGTATATTTCTCAAATTGTATTCTATGAGGCAAGAGTTTGACAAAAAACTCCAGGGGGAAAAAAACGGGGTTCTTCAACAAATAGGTTTGGGAAACCTCTATACTGATCTCTACTCCTGCCACTTGGAGATTCATATGGCATTTTGACACATTAGAAGCTTGGTGAAGACCCTCAACCAAAAAGCCTTTAGGTTTGCTTAATTTAGAATTTCCCAAACATGAATCCTGTCCATCTAATCTAACCTAATCTCTCTTTATTTTTTAACAATACCTGCTACCCCAGAAAACTAACATTTTTCTATGAAATATTGCTTATTACATAGGGAAACATTGCTCTATTTTGACAAAATGTTGTGTTCTGCAAGAGTTGCTGGTCTTGTGAAATAATTTTTGATACAGACTAAATCAATAGCATCACATATCCTGCCTACCAACAAATTGCCAAAAAGTAGGGGATTCTGCAAGGAAACTCTTTTTGCATTATACCTGATCCACGAAGGGGGAGAATGTGTGGACTCTGTTTCTCTCAAGTGCTCTGCTAAAAGACTATTCTAATATTCTACAGAAGATTACATTATCTTGATTTGGAAATAAGGAGAGGCGATTTTTATCAACTTTTCTTGCAAACCTCTAACAGTGTAGGGAGAAAACCTTGCCAATACTACCTAAGACACACCTCCTGGCCCATATTTGAGGTGGCAATACTTGTGTTGCTCGTGGTGACATTTCTTCCCCACGGTGAATCACCTTCATGAGGCTTGAAGAGCAGCTATTTTCTCATTCCTCATCATGTAATAAGTTATTGATTCTCCACTGTGCTGCAAGAAAATCATCAGTTGAGATTTAATGCACAGGACTTTTGAAAGCAAAACCAAACACCACTTGCAATGTGAACATGAAGTTTCCATTTGAGATTTTAGAATCAGAATTTTAAAGCCAAAGGGATTCTTAAGAAATCTATACACCTAATGCCCTCTCTCTTACGGAGTATAAAATTAAAGTTAAGAAAAATTAATTATCTGTCTCATTGACAAAGTTATTCAATGGAATACTAGAATCATAACCTAACTACAGCCCTGTGTTCATTTATTCAACAGGTAACTGTTAATAAAACATACTTTGTGCTGAGGTAAGGTAGTAAATAAAAAAGCCATCATTCAAGACTCGCTGGATGAACTCTTTAATGGACTGTCTGGCCAGCCAGATGCACCATTACTTTTGATTGCATGCATTTTTTTCCCTTTCACCTGTAAGTATAGTATAAAATTCATAATAAGCGTTCTCTAAAAATTTTCAGCCCTGCACTTTATCACAGCAAAGCTCTCTTGTCAATAGCTCTAAAATTGGACTTGGGGAATGAGAAGAAAGTGCTCTTCATGGATAGTTATCATGTTTCAAAATTCCCCACCATCTTTCTTTTCCCTAAAACCAAGTTTAGTGTCATATTCTAATATATATTTTCCCCTTGGGGGATCCCAAAATGGAATATCTGTGCAGTTGCTAATCTCTTTGACTAATCGAGCACATCATTTATGTTGTCTATTTTTTTTACTTTAGTCCTCTCCCCATAGCTTGATACAGAACAAGACCAAAATGGGGATCACATTACTTATGGCTAGACCCTGAACAACCAGGTCTGGCTCTACCACACCCTCTAGGGCAAATTATATATAGCCATGAACTGCTTAATGACATTTTGGTCAACGACTGACCACATATACAACAGTGGTCCCATAACATTATAATGGCTATACCATATAGCCTCGCTGTACCTAGGTAAAGTAGGCTATAGCATCTAGGTTTGCGTAAGTATGATTATGTTCATACAATGACAAAATCACCTAACAATGCATTTCTCAGAATACATCCCCATCTTTAAACGATGCATGCATGACTGTAATCTTTCTCTGCCTCTAATGCTCCATAGTTAAACAGAAAAACTGAATTGTCAAAAGTTAATAAAAGTGAAGCAATTTAAAAATAATAAAGTTCCCTGCAAACAGGATTTTTCAACTACCCATGAAGGTATATAATTCTGGGAAATGCAATTGATACAAAAGGGACTTCTCTGTTGCAAGGGTGAGACTGTATATGCCAGCAATATCTTTTTAAAGGCAAGAAGGGCCTCCTACAACTTGACAGCCTAAAGATAAGAGCCACTTTGTGTATTTATAATATAGAAGTCTTGTGATCCTTTTAAAGCTTGATATTTACATGTAAGCGAATGTATTTCCATAGCAACTGGGGTAATTCAATCTTCTGGAGACACAGCCCCTGGCCAAGGAAACAAATTTGTACCACCATCTCCAGGCACATAGTGCTTGACTGTCTCCAGTGTTCTAAGGTCACATGTGACAATTATCTTTTGGTTTTTGACAAATGTTTTATACTTATTCCACTTTTTTCCTTTCTTTTCTTTGGAATGAAAATCTATAATGAACACTTGAAATAGATCGAGATTCAGTTCTGAGTTGAGGAAAACTTACAGAGATGAACTGATTGTTTTTTATTTTAAAAATTAATTCAACATTTCTTATTATAAAATATTCATCCTAAATGGCTAGATGAGAGAGGAATCAGCTTGCCTGACCTGCTTTCCCACCTTGAAGTTCTTTCACACTTGTTACTAGCTGCCTGGTTTGGTTTTGTTTTTTACGTCTGTCTCCCAGAAGGTTCTTCTCACTTGAATCCCTGGTTATTTCACCTCCAGCTGACATACTTACTCATCATTTGGCATCTGCCCAAAAAAGAACTTTACTAATAGATGAGAGGAGAGGAACAGTTTCTTAAAACAAAGACTGTAAGCACTTTAGGGCAAATTCATTGTCTTCATAAAAGAGTTCTGCTTAATATTAGCACAATCTATTTTTACAATTTACATTCATTAACACACCCTCTTTCTAATGGCTATTTCATCACTGTTTCTTAATGAGAAATCAAAAGACTACAAAAGCAACCTGAATAATTGTCACCATTATCAATTACACTATTGAAATAAGACTTAATAGTGTTTTTCCGTATTTATATTCCTATTTTCACAAATATAGATCCTGCTCACAAATGAGAGCTATATATCTAGACTGATACTGGAGGAAGAAAACAAGAAACTACAAATAATTTGGGGCACGATCATTTCCAGGTTGGGTAGGGTTGGGATGCCAAAATTAAGACTATGCACTCTTCTTATGGAGAAGAGAGAGAGAGTATCTTATTCATTGTCTACATTAACATAAGCACCCACTGAACTGAAAGACTTTGTTTCCTTTGCAATTTACTTGAGATATTAATTCAGTTTTCATAACAATGAAGCTAATTCCATAATCACTCCTGCAGTCCTCACCACCAAGAGAAGGCCAATGTTTGAGTGGTCTTTTTGTGGATTAGAACCAGAACCAAAGGGCCAGGCAGGATCAAATAGCTTGACCACCACAAACAGTATCCCTTGCCTAGATTTTGTGTGAGATGTGTCAGGAATAATTGTGAAAGACTTTGAAATTGGCACATACAAAAAATTACCGGGTGTCTCATCTATCTAGTGCTCCCTTCAGAGCTATTCTGTCCTTTCACTGTCTGTGAACTGCTTTACAATTCCATAAATTGTTGAAAACTGATAACAATGTCAATAATTCTTATCCATAGAAGTGCAAATTACAGTAGTCTCCCTTTA